TCCGTCTTCTTTCACCTCTCGCGATATTCTTTTGAACAACCCCCTGGGGTCCGCGCATAAAAAGCATTGCTTAGTGGCCTAAGGGCCACTTGTTTGTACTGACCATAATGTATCAACGCCTAAATAAAAAATTTGACAATGTGCTGCCAGCAACTCCCTTGAACTAACGTACTCAGAAGCAGGCCTTCTGATGAGTAATTTGTACATACTTTCATCACGAAAGTGCACGTTCCTCGGTGTTGATGCCCGAATGTGTGGAAACGCGTGTGCTAGTCGACGGCGGCCATTCGTATTATGGCTTAGCCAGCCAAGATGGGCCCTTCCACCAAAGTTCATGCTCGATAAGCTTGGATGGGTAAAGACCTCGAAACGCGCAGTCAGCAGTATTATACTCGGAACGGACATGGCTCTAGCAGTTTAGTGGGTACTCGTTCAGGATCTCAACCGTTCTGTTGCAGACGCATGTGTTCCAGTGTCGTGGTGGTGCAGACAGCTAGTGGACACTATCTTTGAACCCGTCCAGCAGTCACGTAAGAAGAAGAGAAGCGATGCATTCAAGGCGTGGAATCGTTACTGTTTTTATGAGTGACACTCGTGTTCGCAATTGCAAAACGACTGTAGACGACCGCCCCATAAGCGTGCATGGACACGTCGGCGAATCCGTGCAATTGGATTTGTGGATTGGATTGTGCAACAATGTATACAGATACTTGACAGTGTGTTAGCATTGGAAAATCCTCAACTAATGCTCTCCAATGTGAGTTTAGGAATTCAAGAATCGGGTCGTCCCAGTGCGTAAAAGCCGTTTACCTTTCTTAAAATGAGTTTGATTATAACTGTGGTGGGCGCTGCAAGGAAAGATGCGATAACAATTCTCGCTTTGTCGGATCTGGGCTGAACTTAAAATCGTCAACATAGCCGTCGTGGGAAAACGCTGCTGGGTACTCATGGCGGTGATCGTCGGCTAACTGCTTTAGAACTCGCACAGCCAAAAATGGAGAGGGCGCTATTCCAGTGACGGTCAAAACCCAAAGATTACTAATGGGCTCGCAGTAATTTCTTCTTTTCTCTTCGCTACGCGAAATTCCAGAACTAACTTTTAAGGATTTTATCTTGATAACGGCGTGATGCGGCAGGTTCACGTAGGTGATAGGGCTTTCACTGATTTGAGCTAATGACAGCTATTCCATGTGATTACGTTGGAATGGTCGTTGCATGCATTGTAAGATTAAGCAATTATCCAACCAAACATTGTATCAAGTGCTATAGGGTAGCCCTTACCAAACTTTTTTCATTCTGCGGTGTATAGAGATCAAAGTCGATCTGATCCAACGAGGACATCTATATCTCCTGGGGTGCAGAATTTGGGATCCGCTAGTGGAAGAGCCGAGATTTGTTTCCACGCTAGAGACCAATCGCTTGCGCTGGGAGCGATGACAACAATGATGCCAATAAGAAAGAGGGCAGTTCGATGTCCTGATCCAAATGTCGAGAGCGCAGCTTAAAATGTGTTCCTCCACGAGTAAGACCCGCGTTGTTAGCTGCGAGGCCAAGAATTGAAATCCATGCGTTCGACTCACGGCTATTCGCTGGACAAATGATTCCGATGCCAAAGTAATGATGGATCCCGTGTCTAGTAGCAACCTGCATGTTGTGGTGTTTTCCCAGGCGTCGATTACGTCTGCGAGGATGGTTGGGTTAGCGAACCGGCAACCAGAATATTTTCCAGGGTATGATGAGTGTAGTTGTTTTCTATAGGAGGAGCGCTTCCCGATGGTGGGTCTTCTTGAAGGCGATGTTGAGTGGTTAAGTATTGAGTGAAGGCGCAGCTCCGTAGGTTGTGGGAAGTACGTTAACGCTTGTTGATTTAACGTTGATTTTATTTTGAACTTGCTGAGGCGAGCCGTGGACTAATGTGTGATGTTTGAGGTACAATTGCCGACCATATGTGAGGCGCTAAGGTAATTAAAGCAAACCATTTTGGTCCTCCAGAATTCTCGGCGATTTGCAATGTCCAATGCGCGGAATTGGATGATTCTGCTGGCACGATGTGGAATTGTGTTTGTCTCGTCCCGGATGAGCGTCAGCGTGGTGTGTGGCAGCTGATCGTCGAGCTTGTGGCGCGCGAACTAGTTGGCAGGCCTCTAAGGTGTCGCAATGTGACTTCAGAAATTTCAGGAATTTGTTGATGGACAGCCATGATACACGAGTTTCGGCATCCAGTTTGGATAATAATAAAAAAATTAACCAGGGATCTCGTTGCTAACATTGAATGGCTGGCAACCCACAAATTGCTTCGTCTGCGACGTCAGCCAATTTCTGCACGGTACTAATGTTACTGGGTGTGGCACTTGGTAGCGTTATATAACTATTCAGAAACGTTGGTATAATTATGATAATTATGATTGTTTGTAGTATCTTTTTTGAAAGTTCTCCCAGGCTTCACTGTAATTTTTACTAGTAACGGGAACATGTTTGATTAACGCGAGCGCATCACCAGATAGATAGGATTTTTGATAATGAAATTTCTGGCAGTCAGTAAGACTCGAATTTGTTCCGATCGATACCAAAATCCTATCAGAAAAATGTTTCCAGATTCGCTCGAATTGAAACTCCATGCGGCTTCTATGAGAATCGTTCAGGGTTTGATCGTGTTGAAGTACAATGTTATCAACGGCCTCCGTCTTTAATTTCTCAAGATAATTACCTAGGATTGCATAAGTTGAGTAATGTTTCTCTTCGTGTACATCAAGGTCGTGCTCGGGGTTTTCCCAAGTGTCGAGATTGACTGAATATCTTCCACGAATTCAAGGGCATGATTATGCGCGTATGTAATTTGGCTTTTGCAAAAGCCGCGCTGTTGAATCACACTCCGCATGGCGATCGAAGTTAGGAGACGGTTCTATACGACGTAGAAATCTATAGATCATAATTGACAAATACTAATTTAATTGAAATGTCCCGAATGCAAAATCGTTACTCACGTTGGGAGAAAAAATGTGACTGATTGTAGGTTTACAGAGAAATACAAGAATAGGCAGAGTCATTGAATACTAGTCTAAATTAGTTCGTTAATGTTTAACCGTTTTGAGATGAATGGAAAAGTACTGACTAAGACAATGCAGTTGGTCCATATCTTACATATACATATGAACTAAGCTGCACTTAATGCGCTCGTGTGTGTATGTATATATAACATTGATAGATAACGCATTGAACCGCGCTTATAATATAAGATAAAAATATAGGTTGTCTGGTTTAAAAAGTTTTGATCAGTATCAACAGGAGATTCGCCTATCCGATAGAATACTCTCTTAAATTTAGAGACATCTGGATAAAACTGTTTCAAAATACGTCATTGTATTGCTCGACACGGGCCGCACTATATCATTCACAAATGAAGCTTGTTGAACGAGAACTCCCTCTTGTAATGGATTTGTCTTGTTCTGAGCTTTAAATTCATGAAAATTTCAACATCGCCAGTCACCTCATTTTGAACACACTATTATCTTGGGTATTGGTCGCATTAAAGGAAAAAAATTGTTTACATTCTATTGTTGATCCTGCCATTATTGTCAAGCTAATTTGCATAATTCACGAGAAAATGATTAGTTTAAAATTTATCAAAGCTGGATTTTTTCGAAAAACTGCCTCTAGTCGAAGTTAACATAAACCGATTTTTAAGAAAACTTTTACGACGCAGTGCCGTTGTTGCATTTACCTAACGAGTGTTGACTCAAAATTTTTTGCTCTCCAAATCTTACTTTCCAATTTGTTGAAAGGAATCTTTTTTAATCCCTCTTCATAAAAAAAGGATCTAGGTCGAACTCCAATATAATTGTAGCTGTTTAACTTCTCAATCACAGCATGACTTTGTAAAAAATCGGTCCGCTCTACTAATCTTCTAGAATTTTCTTCAAAGTCGCCAATATATTCAATGACTTCAGTAGATACATTATACATTATACATTATTTCTTTTTATACTTGGTTTTCCTCCTTATGTTACTTATGCAACAGAATTTCGTCGTATCTTTCGATAGGCAGTCACCTACGACTATTATTATTAGTCTTGTTTATTAATGACCTCCCCCAGGTTCTCTCCTATTGCACAACTTTTATGTACGCTGACGATGTTAAAATTTGCTTGTCATTTTCTGATTTGAGCTCGCATCTCTGCCTTCAGTCAGATCTAAACCAATTTCAAGCGTGGTTCTCGAACAACCTGTTATTATTTAATCATTCTAAAGGCAAGTCCAGGTCATTCTTTCGAACTTCTGTCCATCCTATTTCGTATTTTCTTGAAAACTCGTCTTTGGTGCAACTAACTAAAGTAAATGATCTTGGTGTACTATTTGATCATTAATGATGTTTTAATAGCCATATTTCAGTCATTAATAAAGCGCATGGAGTCCTAGCTTTTTATAAAAGATGGGATAAAGAGTTTGATGATCCTTATACAACTAAAGCACTGTATGTTAGCTTAGTTCGCTTAGATCTTGAATATTGCTCATGCGTTTGAAGCCCTCCATATAATCACGAACAGAATTTAATAGAATCAGTTCAAAAACAATTTTTAATATTTTCACTGCGGCATAGGCAATTACCGCCCTACTTAGCAAGATTAAGCCTAATTGACGAACACACTTTAATGTTATGCACAAACTACTTAACGGTATGGTGTTCTCTCCTTTTCTTCTTGGCAAGATATATATATATATATAGATATACTCGTGCATTTCGCCTCCTCGTCTGCCAATTTGCAGGTCAAATTATGCACTTCACGAACTTTTCGAGTTTTGTGAACTAAAACTTTGTTTATCTATTTATATGTTTTGAAAAATCTGTTCCTAATATTTCGTCCCACCTTAAGACCACGAATGCTTAGATATAAAAAATCTTAGTTATATAGTTAAATTGTTATTATTTTTAATTAGTTTTATAAATTAATGTTACTAGAGCATTGTTAACTCTAAACAGATAAGAAAGACACTAAATGACTAAATATTACATGACTAGTGTTTGGTGATAACCGATCAATACAATTTTCCAAAGAAATTACAGGATACACTCCATTATAATTTGAACAAAGCACCCGAAAAATGGCAAGTGAATAGTGCGAAAAGTACGAGTAAATCTTTAGGTAAGAGCGATGTCAATTTAGCTGAGAAGGAGGCGTATGCAAAAATATTACTCCACTGCAAAATTTTAAGACTGTAAATCAATTAATTTTAACCTTGAAGAATAAGGTGGCAAACTCCTCACCGGCTCCCAATTCAGCTGTCGAGGTGCAAATAATAAAAAATTCCTTTGGACCTGATTCGATTAATGTGTGTTGATTAATATATTGAGGGCTCCATAAACAAATATTCCAAAATAGGGCGAACCATTTAAAGGTGCAGAGTTTTTGTTGATTACGAGTCGTCAAACTCAATGGGCCAACGTTTTAAGAAAACCAAAACACTCTTAGCTTGACCAATGGTGACAGAAATATGAATTTTGAAACAAAACTGACTGTTAAATAGGAGACCTAGGCGTAATACGTTCTAAAGTAGAGTTTTTAAGATGGTAATAGTGTATGTTAGCGTGCTCAAGATGTAACAAATTGTTGGAGCACCATAATTGTATTTAATCTATGTCAGATTGTATGACATTTGGTCAGAGAATGACCGCATACATAAAAGTAGAGGCAAATGACACTATTTTTTGAAGATCACTAATGGGGGGACACCAAAAAAAACATTTACGACAGAAGAAAGTTGATTATTGAAAAGTACGCGTTGAGATCTGTTTGAAAGATAGGCCGAAATCCAGTTAAGTAAATTAGGTGGAAAACCAAGAAGAGATAGTTTATGAAGGAGAAGGCTGTGGTCTACTGAATCAAATGCCTTTCGGAAGTCAACATTAGCTAGGCATTTATTTAGGAAACGACGGTAGATGAGAGAAGGAAATTCAAGAAGATTTCTATGTTTAACAAAGCCATGCTGTGGAAGAAATTATGGAGGCACAAATATGTGAAGTTGACAAGTGACCAACTGTGCCAAAAGCTTAGGTCTAGCAGAAAGTTTTAGATAGTTTTCGACAACGGACCTTGGCCCTTTTTTATGAATTGGATTAATATCAATTCATTCCTTATTTTTGGGAACTTATACTTTGAAGATAATAAAGATATGTTGAATAGAAAAGTTATTGGCCAAGACAGCCTGGAATGATATCAGGACCCGCAGAAAAGGACATAAGGATACGGATAAGGAGTGGATAAGTCAGAGGATTGTAAAGAGTAGGTTGACTGAAAAGGTTTGCAAAACGATTAGAAATGTTTAAAGATAATGATTAAGTTCGGTTGTGTAAATACATAGTGGAGGGATGCGCATTTCATTTTCTTTTAGAATTTACAAAGGGGTAGAAATATTTCGGATCATTACGAAAGCTTTCTGTACATTAAGCGATGTAGCAATCATAACAGTGTTCAGAATCAGTTAAAAACAGAACCAATTCGTGACATAATTTGAAATATATTCTTTGAGGTATTTTTGAGGTATGAAAAGTGCCTTTTGAACCATGGGGGTGTGGATGTGTCACATACCGATACTTGAGGAACGAAAATATTAATCGACGAATGCAATGTCAAATTAAGGAATTACACTAGAGCCTCTAGATCATTACATGATTTTAATGAGGACCAATGAATAGCACTCAGATGCTGGCTTAAACCAATAAAGTTGGCATTGCGGACTTAGTCTGAATTTCTGAAATGGATGGTAGTGGTCTTCAGACAGAGAAAAGTGAGAGCTTCTGAATACATTTACGAGAGTGTCGTTATTAACAAAGATTAAATCAAGAAATCTGTCCATATGGTTCTTAACAAAGTTTATCTGGCCCAGAGACATATTCGTCGATAAAATTGTGCTGACTTTCGGAAAAAAGGGGATTGTAATTCACTGAAGAAAGTCAAAACATGTTAGGTATAAAATCGCGCATCATAATAAGGTGGTCCTCATCGACAGTAGAAGACGATACTAAAGAAAGGTGTATTAAATAGAAAGAAGTATCAGATCTAGGTGGAATGGAAGAGCAAGATAAATAAATATTAATGATATTGTTACATAGCAAAATTTTAGTATGTATCGTATGATAAGCTCATACCGATATATTTGCATGTATTATCGATACTAGAAATCTTAGTTGTAAACAGACACGTGCACACTTTGAATAAAACATATTGGCGACGAGGATGGGATGGTCACGGAAGTTTAGGAACCATCACAAACAGATTCTTGGAAGACTACCGGAATACACCTAATTGTACAACAGGAGAAACCCCGGTAAAGCTTTTCTTTGGTAGGAGTCTAAAGATTAGATTTGACCTCATGAGTCCACCTACAGTCAGCTCAAGAATATTGAAACAACAAGAAAAGAGCATAAAAAGCTACAAAGGGAAGCGTTTAGAATCATTTACTCAGGGACAGAAGGTATACATTCGAGACTACACCAATCCAAATAAAGCATCTTGGTCACGGGCAACAATAGACAAATGTATAGGATTTTGAACTTACTTATGCAACCTCGCTCACAACCACAGAATTACAAAGCGTCACACCGATCAAATCCGAGCTCCCGAGGAGGACACAAAACGGATGGATAACACGGATCAGGTTCATGCACAAGTGAGGCACAATGCTGATGCACAAAAAATATCTTGACATGTATCGGTATAAGAGATCTTGGTTGAAAACAGATACGTGCACACTTTGCAGGTTACATATTAGCATCGAGAAAGACGAATTCCTTAAGTTAACCTTGCAAATTTCATCCTTGTATTACAAGGAAGATGTAGCATGTGTACATGTATATGAATGATATTCGGTACATCTTGGGCAGTAACACTTACGCTGCCTAAGCATAAGCAAGGCTTCAACACCTTGTTGTTATGCCAACACAATATACATAAAGCGGCAACTTTGTCGCAGTACGGCTATTGCCAAGCGCCCACAGATATATTGAAGAACAATCTGATAATACAACAAAATGTATTTTGGCCCGGCATGGTGACTCAGATTCGAGACTATGTAGCTAACTGCTCCATTTGCAAGTCCACCAAGAGTCACAATCAAATTCTTAGACCTCCAATGGGTAATCCAACTACTTCAGAACGACCGTTCCAAAAACTGTATATGGACCTGTTAGGCCCATACCCTAGTTCTAAGAGCGGCAATATCGGCCTATTAATAATAGTCAAACATTACAAGAAATTTAATTTCTTACACCCACTACGAAAATTCACCTCTGATAGAATATGTGATTTCCTGGAAAAATACGTATTTTTCACTTTCGGAGTTCCGGAATACATATTGACAGACAACGGCTACTATAAAGCTTTTTTAACCCGATTCGGTGTTGCACCTGCGTGTACGGCCATACACTCCCCACAAGCTAACGCGAGCGAGCGAGTGAACCGATCGGTCTTGGCGACTATCAGGGCTTACATCGGAACAGATCATACCAATTGGGACAGAAACATAGATGAGATTAGCGCGACCTTGAGGGCAAGCACGCATCGTAGCATAGGATTTTCGCCGTACTTTTTGTGTTTCGGACAGAATATGGTGATGAACGGCAAGGACTATGAACTTCTAAGGAAATTGAATTTGATTAGAGACGATACAGCTTTAAAAACGTCTGATCTGATGCAATTGACTCGGAGGCAGGCACAGGAAAAAGTAAGGGAAGCTCACGTCGCTAACGCTAAAGTGTATGACTTGCGTAGCCGTTCAGTTCATTTTAAAGTAGGCGATACTGTATACGCTCGTAGCTTTGCACAGACAAACGCAGCGAAGAAGTTTATCATAATAAAGTGTGGAAGAAAATTAGTCATATATACTACGAATTAGCCTCCGAAGATGGCAAACTGGGGGTATACCACTTAAAAGATATAAGGTCCTAAAAGAAGAATGCCCGACCTTTTTCAGTTAATACTTCTTCGAGATAGGACTCTAGCAGTAATAGCAATAAACAAAACGTATCCCGTATGTCAAATCGGATAGGCCCGGGCAGGAATGTAGAGAAGACTTCCAATCGGTTATGTCTGCTGAGTCGCGTTGCACACACACACACACACACCTACTTAGATCTCTCTCTCTCTCTCTCTCTCGCTCTCTATCGGCGTGCGAAAGGCAAAGAAGGAAAAATTAGCGAGTTTGGGAAAAGTCCCGTTTATTGTGGATCTAGAAGTTTCCAATTCGCGCTGCCTGAAACAACGCTAAGAGATGCTCGCTCACTTGATTTTGGGAACCATAAGCCATCACAAGTATTTGGTCAGCAGAATTAATTTCAACTTGCAATATCGACACGTGCATAAACTGTACCCCAAAAGCCAGAGAGGACGTAGACCACGCGCACAAGAAGAAAAGAGCCTATTGTTAAAACAATAGAGTCGTTCAAACTGCAAAGGTAATTATTTGTGTTAATTGAAATGTGCGAGTGTAACCTCACAATGTGTCTATGTATGTAGAGCACGTACATCGGAGGCCGGCCATAAAGCACACGCGCTCGTCGCGGGTGCTGTTGCGCTTACATCTTTATAACAAAATACATATTTGTACATCCCCGTGACTGGCCGGCCGATATTTTGCTGCGAAACTGGGAAATCTGTACGTTGCTGAAGCCCACATATACCAACACGTGAAATAACACAACAACATAACACCCATACCAGCAGAGCCCAGCTAAGGTTACTGCAGGTTTGGGAGCTTGCAACCGAATCTTCGTAAACGCCGCATACGGAACTTTGAGCGGTGCACAAGTTATACCTGGCCGGAACTTGGAAAAACGCATACCGACGCGTGGAGCCCTAACCTAGAACATCAGAAGACTCGCACAACAGCTTTCGGGAGTACCTGCGGATTATACAATTTCTGGGCGGAAATAAACAGGCCCAAAGGAGATCGGCGCAGCAAACCTGTGAAGAGGGATTGCCACTTCTAGCAGCATGTAGTCCGCTACGGAGTACAACCGATGCAAGCCCACATACTTGCAAAAACAGCGCCTACACTGACAGACGTCGGCGATACCGATCGCCCATAAGAGAAGTCCTATTGTTTTGATTTAGTTTGAACCTTTTCTTTTTTTTTTGAGAATCAGACATTGTTCTTATTAGCTGTTTCTTTTTATTTAGCATATAAATTAAGTGAATGCCAGATGCCACAACTAATAACCACGCTCTTTGAGAAGTAATAAACAGCACCTGCATTTTCGATGCGCCCAACGAATCGGCAGCGGAAAATATGTGCGTATATTTTTATTAACGACAGCCGTAGCTATTAAATAAAAATAATTTGATTTAACCGGGATATGTTAAGAAAGGGCATAACCAAGAGCTTCATTAAGTTTATCAAGTAAAATCATGAATTATTGGAACATGTCTGAACAAAATATATTTAAGAAGTTTAAATTGAAAAAAGAAGAACATGAATTATTAGAATGTAAGTTCGGAAACTAAAAAGAAAATAGAACAAAGAATGAATATGAAGAATTTTTGTAAATTATCCTGGATTTTGTTACCGTTTAATATGAGCAAATAATTTGTATAAATACGGTCCGCTCCCAGTACAGCGATGCTGTTGTCAACCTCCTCGAATATGATTTAATCTACAATAAAGCGATTACCAAGGGGTAACAGCAAGCAATTTCTACTGTTACTAAGGTTGGGAGGGTAGAGAATGGGGGCAAACTACACGTAAGCCACCCACATTGCTGGTATTCTTCTCTTATTATATATTCTTTAGGGTCCGTCTGTGTCGTCCGATATCTACAATATTTTGACCAATCATTAATGTACAGATAGTGCACTTAAAACTTTTCGTAGTAGAACGGGTGTGATATATAGATGAGGAGGAAGACCCACGCCATATCCGATGAGCTTTACACCGAGCAATGCAAGAAGTGCACGAACACCGATCCGTCTATACGCTAGAAAACTAACAATATCTAGTGAACACCTACCTCTGGGATACTACAGAAAATGGCGCCCAACGTGGGTCTAGAAACCGATTACCGTTTTGAGAAATTAAACACTCAGGTAGTATACAAGTCCTAGGAGCCGAAATCGCAAGTTATGTGCAGGATCCTTAGGAGGTACTAGCCATCAATCCAATTAGCTTTTGTTTTAACAATTTGAAATCTTTTAAATATGAAAATACGCAGAAACCTATTTTGTATTTGAGGTTAGCCATAACTGATTTATAAATTCGTTGCCTGGAATAGCGACTGCAATTCGAGTCCTTACGGATTGAGGTGACCGGAACGATTTTATTCACAGGGTTAATAATTAAGTCAGAAATTAATCCGGTAGACTAAAGTATTGATTCGATATTAGAGGGAAGCGAATTCAGAAATTCGTACTTTGGAACTGCGATTGAAAATCAAATCATTATGGTATTATCGACCAAGGCGAACCGATCCACACTGGTCCCAAAGTCCAAAATTTGTGCAGTAATTAGAAAAATGGAGATATACGCTTGAAACTTGGTGCAGTTAATGGTTGTTGGATATAAAAAGCCTGTGCAAAAATTGTTTGCGATCGGGCCACGCCTTCCTTTTCTCCCCTTATAAACAACAAAATTACTCATACGTCCGTTTGTCAATTGATATTGCTTTCAGTTTTACATGGCTTAGATTTTAGTTTCTTATCAGAAAATAAATATTTTAAATGAAAAAATAACTAAAATAGAAAATGAGAAAAGTTTTCGGCTAATTTTATTTATTTTTTTTATCACATATATTTATTAAATTAATCGTTTTGTACATCTAAATCAAAAGAATAGTCATTTGTCAAATAGTCAAATATTTGGATAAACGTCAAATATGTCTTTTTGTAATTGTAATATACGTTCGACAGTGTGATTAAGCATGTTTTGTAGTGAAACAGAAGCGACAGACTCCGTAATATTTATTCCTTTAGGCCTGCACTTATCTTTTGCAGCGATAATTTTTTTGTAGCTCGGATAAATTTCGCAATTCCTGCATTTACTTTGCAGCCTTATGCTCATATACTGTTTTTTTGTAAAGCCGTTTTCAATTAAAAAGTCTAAGGCTTCTTCTGGAGTGAAAGGTACAGGCTCTGCTTTGGAAGATACTTCCTCAACGGTCAATCGCGCCTTTTTTGCAGCCAAGTTTGCTGCATGAGCAAGAAGATTAACGTCGTTATTATTTTTAGATGAAAGATCGGCAGCTAATCTTTGCTTTAATCGGCAACTTCCTGCATCATAGTTTAGTCGTGGGCGTCCTGCATTTTTGGGGGCCTCTTCCATAAAATCAGATGGTAATAATTTGATTTTGAAACGTAGTGCGAGCCAATTTTCATGCTTCTTCTTAAGTCTTGAAACATCCCGGTTACAATTGTTTAACCGAGTTTTTAATGCAGCAACAAAGTTTGCTATTTTCTTGTTTATTGAGTTCTTTATATGTTCCTTTAATGTTTTATAATATGACCATTTGCCAGCCAAACCTCTACCATTTCAGCATAGCTCAAATTGATGTTGTCTGTCAAAAAACAATATTTCATGGAATCGGGCAAAAACGGGCAAAAAAAATTAGTGTAATCAAAAAATATATATGTTAAAGATAACATCTGTATCAATAGTTTCTTAAATACGATTAAATACTATATACCTTTATTCCACGGAACACGACAAAAGTTAGGTTAGAATTGCTAAAACACATAACATCACAAAAACACATTTGTATTTGTATTTGTATTTATTATAAAATTTCATCCTAACGCTACAAGTTTGGAACTTATAAGTTAATGCGCTAGTCACTACGAGTTTGCAAATATTTAATTGTTACATTATACTTAAAACTACTTAAAACTAATTTTCATAAAAACTAACCTAAGTCGCATTCTATTTTTACTTTAATTTACGTAATAGTGTTTTTAAGGTGTGTGAATAATTTTATCTTGAATTGCGTGGTACTGCTAATATTTTTAAGATGGTTTGGGAGCTGATTCCATGATCGAATAGCATTAATTAAAAATTGTCTTTCGGATGTCAAAATGATCTGGGTCTTATGCAAGTAAGATTGTTTGCTCTTCTAGAGGATGTAAATTGAAGTTTTTCGAAAAGATACAAAGGTTCTTTTTGGAAAATAAATTTTTGCAGAAAAATTAAGTTCCGCATCTTTATCCATTCATTTAGCGAGATATCGAATATTTTCAGCGAAAACGTGATTGGATACGTGATCTGTATGTGGTTGGTTGAATATATACCTGGCTATGTAATTAAATAGAACTTTAATTTTGTTCTTACTGGTAGTGTCACAGTTTGAAAAAACTTCTACTCCATAAAATAGCGCTGGAACAATGCAGGTTTTAGCTATTAGTAAACGTATATGGGTGGGCAGGCAATTTTTAGTTACGTATAATGTCCTTATTATGCCATATGTTTTCCCTACAGACTTTTTAATATGATCATTCCAGGTAAGAGTTCTGTTGAATGTAAAACCTAAGTTTACAGCTGTATCAACGTACTCAAGTGGCGTGCTATTCATACTCAGTGGCTGCAAATTGTTAAAAATTATCTTTCTTTTACTTATGACAAGACATTTTGATTTTGATGGGTTGATCCCAAGTCCATTGTTGCCGGCCCACTCATTTACACGTTCAAGTTCTCTGTTACAAACATATATACATTCATTTATTCTGTTTAAAGGACGACTCACATACATTTGGACATCATCAGCATACAAGTGTACATTACATTCAGATAACGCATTGGGAAGGTCATTAACATATAAGGTAAACAATAAGGGACCAAGCACAGACCCTTGGGGTACACCACGATTAACATTTTCATATGAGGACGAAACGCTAGACAGTACAACAGATTGACGACGATTTTGTAGGTACGAAGACACAAGTTTGACAGAAGTTTTAGAAAACATAAACATATTACGTAGTTTTGCACAAAGGACATTATGGCTTACTGTATCGAAGGCCTTAATATAGTCTAGTAAAACTAAGAGTGTAACATTGTTTTCGTCTATTTGTTCCCTTATGTCGTCTGCAATTTTTATAATAACTGAGGTACAGCTTCTGTTTTTCCTAAAACCAGACTGATTATTAGTAAGCATTGCATTGTCGGACATAAATTTATTAATTTGATCAGCCATGAGATTCTCAAATACCTTTGATAGGTATGGTAAAATGGAGATGGGTCTGTACTCATTATTTGATTTAGGAATCGGAATTATTTTTGCCGTTTTCGATTAATCCGGATAAGTAGATTTTGTCAGTACAGTATTAAAGGTATAGGTTATGTATGGCAGGATTTTTGGCAGCAGAATTTTTATGAATTCCATTTTAATAATTATAATTGGATCCACTACTGTACGGGTCGATTTTCGCGGTCGCGATCGAAAAATCGTACGTACTTTAGGCGGCGGGGTCAGTTTGAGCGAGAAGCACAGTGCGTGAAAAAGTGCTTTCACATTTTCCCCCTGGACTTGTGGGACCCCATGCCAACGCAAGTCACAGGCGACTTCAGACGCCGCCTGTGCGTTGCAGGAGGCCACCCACTTGCCTCCAACTCGTCAACGCGCTGATCCTGGCAGTTTTTAGACAGTTTCGCATCCAGCTCCTGGACCCGCTGCCTCAGCATCCCCATCTCTCTCACCTCGCTCTCCAATTGAGTAACTCTCAGTGTGAGTTTGTTGCAGTCAGCTGCTATTAACTTAAATTTTTCTTCCAGAGTGCCGGTTATACGTGCCTCGCCATCACGGATCTCCCCTGCAAGACTTTCCTTTAGCTCGGAAAATCTGAGGTCGATCGTGTGAAGCAGTTGAGCATCGGAGTCACGGGCTCCCTTCAGATCGGAGTGAGTTTCCTTCCTAAGTCGCTTTGCTGCTGAAGACATTATTGTGTTGGTGCCGAGAGGGTTGAGTGTTTTGATGTGTTGAGTGTTTTGATTTGCTGAGTGTTTTGTCTCTGTGCTATTGTGTTTTGCTATGCACTGTTTCTTTATTAGATTGTTGTTGCACTTAATTGTGGATTTATTAAGAAGCGATTTACTGCTTAAAACCGATTTATTCCGGGCAACAAGAACTTTAACGTGTTGTACTCTTATTAATGATGCTGCCGTAAGCAGTTTTTAATTTTTTAAGCCGAGTTTAAGGTGTTTTCGGTGTTTAAAGCGGAGCTTCACAAAAGTGCGTCTATTTCTCTCTTATGGTTTTTCTGTTATATTAATAAAGAAATTACACATATAACAAATATTGCAATATTACATA